TGTAGGACAGCACATAGGCTCTGTGGCATATTTGACACTTCATGAAGCTTACATTTGCTCTTGCTATGTAATAGCATAATTTCAGCAAAAAGCATTAACTCTTCTCCATGTGCCATTTTGCAGTTGATCAGTTTTGGTACATGGATATGAATTTGAATCCTTTTGAGCTGAAATGATCTTGTACTTAGATTTCCTTCAGATGTTCTGAGAAGAGTTCTCTGACCATTACACTTTCCTGCATGCACAGTGCCAGTGACCACACTGTATGAACATTGATTCTTTGGACAAATTAGAACATACTCATGTATTTCCAGGATAGATGTCTGTCCACAGTAAGTTTTCTAACTTAGTATACAGTTGTGTATAATTGTACCTGGTTTATCTAACTAAAGCTGGTTAATCTAACCATATGTTCAGCAGAACTTCAAAAGCAGAGTCAGAACTTTATTTTTTGAAACTAGGACTATTGCAGATTTCAAGCACTTACAGGGTTAACTATATCTTAGAATAGGCTTTATGGGAAATTATTTAAAATAGTGTCTTACAATAAAAAGGAAAATCTGATCCTACAAGCAGCAGCAGCAGCAAAATTCAAAGCAGATTTGTCAGATCAATTTGTGAATGGAGAGACTTCAGGACTGAATCAATGGAGACCAGAATTTCAATTATAACACAGGTAGGTACACTGTAGCATTCTGAGATCAGAATATATCCACAGAAGCACTGCTATTGTATTTCAGGCCATACAGTCATAGAATCAATGAGGTTGGAAAAGACTTTTAAGATCATCAAGTCCAACCATTATCCCACCACTGCCAAGACCACCCCTAAATCATATCACTAAGGGCCTCATCTACATGGTTTCTGAACACTCCCAGGACTGGTGAGTCTACCACTCCCCTGGGCAGCCTGTTCCAATGCCTGACCACCCTCTCGGTGAAGAAATTTTTCCTAATATCCAATCTAAACCTCCCTGGCGTAGCTTGAGTCTGTTACCTCTTGTTCTCTTGCTTATTTCTTGGAAGAAGAAACTCACACCACGACCCCCTCACACCCCCCCCACCCCCCCCCCAGCTTTCTTTCATATGGTTCTAGAGACAAATAAGGTCCCGCCTGAGCCTCCTTTTCTCCAGACTAAACAACCCCTCAGCCATTCTTTCAGCCATTCCCCACAGGACTTATTCTCCCGGCCCTTAATCAGCTTTGTTGCTCTTCTCTGGACCTGCTGCAGTTCTTCACTGTCTCTCTTGTAGTGAGGACCCAGAACTGAATACCGTATTCAAGGTGCAGCCTCACCAGTGCCCACTACAGGGGGATGATCACTGACCTGGCCTGGCTGGCCACCCTTATTGCTGATACAGGCCAGGTGCCATTGGCCTTCTTGGCTGCCTGGGCACAAACTGGCTCACGCTCAGCTCCATCAATAAGCATCTGCAGGTCCTTTTCCATTGACCAGCATTCCAGTCACTCTTACCCAGGCCTGTAGCATTGCATCATGTTCTTGTGACCCAAATGCAGAACCCAGCACTTTGCCTTGTTGAACCTCATACCACTGGCCACAGCCCATTGATCCAGCCTGTAAAACGTATTAACTTGAGAATTCTTACTACACTGCTTTCCTTTCTTGACTCACATGCCCTATGGACTCATAATACACAAAGCAATGCTTTGGTTAGGAACAATTAGGTAGAAATAAGTAGAAATACTAATCACTACATTAGCTAGCCACAGTAAATCAGAAGCATACTGGGGTGGGATCAGTGTCTTTTTTTAGACCTCCACTCTTCTATCACAAGTTTTTACCTCCCTACCTTTGGCAGTCAGATGATATGAAGATTAAGCTTGCTTGTCCTGCTTGTGTCTGTATCTTCTGTTTATAACCATCCTACCTGCACCCCCCCAGTAAAAGCTCAGCTGCCTTTTCTCTGCAGAACACATATGTGCTTTAATCTGAAGGCAAGCGGTTTCTGCATTAAATGTGCTGGTAGAGTCAAAGGACAAACTTGTAGTTGGCACAAGACTGTCTTCCTGCTTGAATTGTCAAGTGAAAAATCTTACCCTTCACTGGTTTACACTGGCTTCTCTGCTTGGAGAAAAGGGTACTATTTCGTTTCTCTACATCTTGTACCATCATCTGTTTTTTTAAAGCAGCATTGAGATTTTTTTATCAATATGTTGTTGATGAAAAAAATAGCGTGATGTTGCCAAGGTTATGTTTACAGATGGAGTCCTTAAAAATAAGGTGGGAATGCATGAAGGAGTTAGGAAATAGTTCTCAATTAGTTAATTTCGCTCTTTCTTCAGGCAGTCTGAATTTACCAGGTTCTAACCCTCTATAATTTTCACTGTACGAGCTACGAAACAAAAGCAGTGTCTGTTGGTCATACAACGTGTAGGCAACTGCTTTGGGAGTTACACTAAACCTTCTGGGCGGGTGACCGGCTGCCTAACCCCATCTCCCCTGAGCTGCCGCTGGTGAAACAAACCTGCTGAGAACCGTCCGTATTCACTCAGCAAACCGCAGTCCCTGCGATCGTCCCCCCCGGGGGCAGGCAGGCACCTTCTTCCATCGCGACACCCTCCTGCCCCGCAGCCGGGCTCTGTCACGATACCTGCCCTGAGAACGCCTGAGCCGACACCCTGCTTCGGCACGCAGCGCCGGGCTTCCCGAGAGGTCCCCTCACACCCCGCAGAGCTTTCCCGAGAGGAGGTTCGGGAGGTTATCGGAGCCTTAAACCTGTTCAAAATCCTCTGAATAATTCCCAGGATGATCACTTCTTCTACTGCTGCGGGTTTCCCATTCTTCTTGTCCCTCAGACCGATGTGAAGGAAAAACTCAGCCTCCCTAAGTTGCCACACCGAACTGTTATAGGGAGCTAGCGCTATTCACGATTTTTCTGTGGGGCTGCTTTCTTTATCAGCAACTAGATTTTAGCAGCAGAAATATCGGCTTGGCTCTCTGCCTAAAAAGTGGAGTGAAGCAAGTGTGAAGCACTTTTTTTTTCTTTTTTTTTTTTTTTAATAATAATTTATTTGGGGTATCTGATTACTGGTCGGTGTATCTGGCTGCAAAACTTTTGAGGCAATTCCCTTTCCAGACCGATTCCCAAATCGTGATATCGACCCGTGCCTCATTAGCATAACATTATTAGGATGGGGTTTTTTCAGCGCTAGGACTGTTACAATTTTCGAAGTTAAGGTGTAACCCCCGTATAAAGCGAAGAAAACAACTGGAAAAATCAACAGCTCCAGTTGAATTTCAAGTGGTCAAACAGATCGCACGAGTGTGCGTGGGGAAAACTTTGGACAGCCGGAACTCGAAGGAGGGCAGGTTCACCTTCCCAGGAATAATTTCTCCGTCTGCAGGTCCACCTAAGGACCAGCCTGGCAGAGGGTACCCTTCCCCAGGGACCGGGGCTGCTACCTGGTCCCTGGGAGCACGGCAGGTAAATCCCAGACAGCGGATGCGGTCCAGCACTCACTGAAACCAGTGTCAAAACTCCAGCTGCCTTCAGTGGGATGGGGATCCGAGCCGATGCTCGCTTCGCAGACCCGGAAGCCGGCACTTCGCCTTTGAGCTGCGAGTACCAGCGAGTCAAAGTGTCTCTGCAGCAGGCGATTTACCTGCGAGAGGATTCTGTTCCCTTTCCTCGCCTTGCTTTGATTCAAAGAAAACTTTGGGGTACTTTTGTCAGACTGGGGGGGGGGGGGGGGGGGGGGGGGGGCGGAAGGGAGTGTGAACTTACGCTAGACGAGCACGCGTTTCTAAACCCGTGTGAAAGGCGAGTGTTTTAAACAGCAGTACCGGCAGAAGCAAATGAATAGATGGGTTTTAATGAGCGTTGGTGTACAGCAGGGCAGACAGGGTACGGCAGCAATCAGTCACAAACCATCCGGGACTCATCAGCCAGGGCGTCGCTCTCTGACTTCTGATCCCTCTGCTTTACACAGACCTCTCGTCTGTCGGAAGGTTGTTTTCAGTAAAGTGCTTTTCCCGAATATTTGCTTTTAATAGTTTTTCTGTCGGCTTTCCCCCACTCCCCCACCCTTATCCCCAGCAGGTTTTAGTGTTCGCACTCACGTGGAAAAAGCGCCAAGCAACACATACAAAATAGCGGTAGCGGTGAGCGGTCAAAGGTGATGTGAAAAGCAGTCTACAAATCGCCGGGTTGGTTTTTGTTTTAATGAGAAACTAAAGAATTCAGACGCTCATTCACAGCTTGAGAGGCCAGGTCACGCTTCAGTCCCTCCTGAGGCATTTCCCTGCGATGTGAAATATTGGGATGGACTGTAAAAGTGTGAGGAGGAAGGTCAAGTGATCGTCAGTTAAAGGAGCCCTCCGCCGTCAGTGCCGTTTTCATTTAAATTCCCACTAATTAATCTAGCTATTTAAAGCTTACTCTTTAAACAGCGAGCGTTACACGTCCGGAGCCCCCGCAGCTCGCAAGGTTCCAACGTAACCGCTTTGCCCACCTCTTTCGGAGCAAGATCTACAGGACAGAGGGTCAAAGGTTTCCGGTCTCTCGGGGGGAGAGGGTGAAGCGGACTTTTGTGGCGGCTTTGCCCTTCTGATTCCGCCAGCCGCCGGAGGGCTGCAGCCCTGCAGTGGGACTGTCCCACTGGGCGCCGTGTTCCGCGGGACCTTCTGGCAGACCTCCCCAGCAGCGGGGCTCCGCGGGGAGCCCGGGCTGAGCGGCCGCCCCGTGCCGCAGGCTGTCGGGAGGGCTGGGAGACCTCCCCTGCCGGGTCCTTCTTCCAAGCCAGCCACTTTGGCCTCAGCTGTGAATTTTCACATCACCGCCTCTCCGCCACTAGAGATAATTAACGACGACAAAAGCTCTTACCTGGGACCTGGCTCTCAAATTATCTGATTGTACACAATATAAACACAGACACCAGAGGGATATGGTCATGAGATCTATCGCGTTTCCGTGCGGCAAGCATGTCCCAGATATCGGCATCCTCCCCGAGGGAGCCTCTCTCCTCCTACCACCCGCCCCTTAGGAGTGCACCAGGACGGAGTGGAGGGAGGCCTTGCCCTCGGGGGTGTTACTCGCGGTTTGTCCTAGCAGCGAAGCGGCAGACGGGGAGGCGGTCGGGCAGATCTGCGAGGCAGCGACCGTCAGAGCAGGAATGGCCGAGGCAGCGGTCATCGCCGGCGCTGGTTTGATGGGTACCGGGACGGCGGGCATGGTCTGAGCCGGCGGGTGGCAGAGAGCCTTCACGGGCACACCGAAGGGTCCGTAGTCTGGAGACACGGGCACGCCGGCCACGGAATCCACCACCCCCACGTGCGGCCACACAGAGCTCACCACGCTGCTGAGCTGGCCTGGCACCGGGTAGCCCAGATGGTGCATCACCGAGGCCAGCGGCAGCCCGCCGGCCTGCAGCACGCCCTTGTAATCTCTGCCGATGATGTTCTCGATGGCGAAGGGATGCTTGAAGCCGGAGGGCTGGCTGCTCCCGTAGGGCGAGAAGTGCGGCAGCCTCCCTACAGATGCGGCTGCAGCCACGGCGGCCTCGGAGCCCACCAGCCCCGGCACCTTGCCCGAAAGAGGCGGTGGCGGCGGCGGTGGGTGCGAGTGGAAGTAGTGCACCATGTGCGGGGCTGGCGCCGTGCTCTTGCCGGGGCCACCGCCCCCCGCCCCGCCGCCCGCCCCGCCGCCGCCGCCGGGCAGATGATGCTCGGGGCGCAGGACCTTGAAGCGCTTGCGGCGTCGGAGGAAGCTGCCGTTTTCAAACATGTCCCCGCAGTCCGGGTGCAGCGCCCAGAAGCTGCCCTTGCCCGGCTGGTCGGGGCGGCGCGGGATCTTGATGAAGCAGTCGTTGAAGGAGAGGTTGTGGCGGAGGGAGTTCTGCCAGCGCTGCGTGTGTTCCCGATAGTAGGGGAACCGCTCCATGATGAACTTGTAGATGTCGCTCAGGGGCAGCATCTTCTCTGGAGAGTGTTGGATGGCCATGGCCGTCAGGGAGATGTAGGAATAGGGTGGCTTCTGGTCGCTGTACGAGCTCTTCCCCGGCCTGGGCATCGCCGCCCCGCCGCAGCCCTCCCGCGGCCGCACCGTGTCAGGTCGGCACTGCCCTGCCGCGCCGCCGCGCCTCTACATCATGAGCGCCACCCGCCCGGCCCACTCGAGACCGCGACGCGCCCCGCCGGCGGGCTCCGCTCACGGCTCCTCCGGACAGCCTCGCCCAGCGGGAAGCGCTCTCCACGCCGCCCTGCCGCTCGCCGGAGGCACAGCTGCCGCCCGGGTAGCGGGGCCGTGGAGGGCGCGGGGCAAAGGCGGGTCGCGGCCCCCTCTGGTGTCCTCGCTCGCCGCCGGAGCCTGCCGAGTCTCCCGTGCTGCCCCGCTGCCGCCCGGCACGCTCTGCTGGAGTTGGTGCTCCGCACGCACCGAGGGCGCGGGGGCATGGAGTTACCCCGCACCGCTCTCCCCTCTCACCGCTAAGTCCAGCGTCCCCACTTATAAGTTTGCAGCGGTGGCGAGGGCCGGAGTCGGCGATGAGAGGAGGAGGTGAGCGGGGCGGCCGCCGCCGCGGCTGTGGCGGGGCTACGCGCTCGGGCCCGGTTTTGTAATGGTGCCCGAGTAGGGAGACCCCCGCAGCTCCTACTCTCTCGCTATCACATGACAGCGTCGCGGGCACTTGGCGTGTCGTGGAAAAGGAGCGAGGAGAGGCTCATGGCTCCCCTGTCGCTCACACCTCCTCATCAGGGCGAGGTGGGGCCAGGGGGGGTGAGGAAACAACATGGGAGAGCGGGATCCGCTTTCAAAACACAGGGTAGACACAGCAGCCCCAGCAGGGAAGCTCCCCCACCTCCCAGCGCCCGCATCCACTTTCCTCCTTCTCGCACCCTCTCTCCAGCTCAGCCCTGCTCCGAGCGGCGAAGGTCTCCCGCGGGCACCCACCGCGGGAGACGGAAAACGGGCGAAATCTTTCTCCGTCCCAGGGGCGACCCGTGCCAAGCGTACCCTGGGAAACGGGCTTCAAGCTAACCCCGGAACCATCGAGCGAGAAATAGGGGCCCTCTGAAGTAATTTCTTACTATCCTTTATATCTCTTTCATTGAGCTTAGAAAGCTACTAAAAACCTAGAACAGAACCGAAAAAGGTTAAAAAAAAAAAAAAAGTAAAAATCATTACGGTCAACTGTTGTTACCGGCCGCGATGCAGCTGGTATTAAAAAAAGGAAAGAATCAGCCAAATACCCTCAGTAAGCTTCGAGGCGAGCTACTTAGCGCCAGTGTTGATTTAGACCGGCTCATTAGTAGGAGTCAATGAACAGTGCCGCAATTCACATCTATCCTTCAAGCGCCCTGTGCTGCAGCGGGCAGGCTGTGGATTTGAGCGAGAGGCAGGGAAGCCTGCTCTCTCTGCTGCAGCCAGAGCTGGGACCAGAAACCCTGCTCAACGCCAGCACCCGCCAGAACTCAGTTAGCTAGCTGCTGCTGTAGAGGTGTCGGCCTTAAAATGATTAGTAAGGCTTTTACTGGATAAATAAAAAAGTCGAAAGAACTCAGTACTACTAAGAGAGAAGGAAAAAAAGGAAAATAAGAATAACCGCTCCTTTCAGCCCCCTCTCCTCTCTGGTGCCGGCCTCTACTCTCCCGCCGTCGGGGGGTGATGGGAGCATCAAAACTGGGTGCCCCTCTGCAAGTCGGGCGCTGCAGATGGAAGTGCGAACAGGAGGGGGAACTCCTCCCCCCCCCCAAAAAAAACACCAAATCACCAGCCTTTTAAGTGGCTACCTGTAATCTCAGCTAAGAGGGTGAAAGAAAAGGCTAATTTGAATCCCTTCCTTAAGTGCCTTGTATTTAATAGTCATATACTTGGCCAAGATCAGTCAAGTGAAGAGAGTAATCAGACGTAAAGAAACAGAATAAGTAACCAAAATTCTGGAAAGCCAAGTCTTTCGGGGAAGCGTGTACTTTAAAAAAAAGTTTCGAGTGGTTTCCCAAAGCATTCATTTGGCCTCTGAGAAACTAGAAGAAACTTAACGGTGTAGGAAATATTTACATCGTACGTCCTAGGGAGCTTTTCCCCTTCTAATCGGCACGGCAAGAGCCGACATTCGGGAGTCTTTACTGGCATGTTTGTGCATTTTCCCCCACATCCCTTTTACTCCTGTTTTACTGACTAATCCAGCCCTAACCGGTTAAAAGTCCTGCTTCTACTCTCAGCTTCTGTGCCCTGGATCTGAAACTCAATGCCTGCCTCGCTTCACCAGTTAGTAACTCAGCATTTCGCCCCGCACGCAGGTATGTGCGGGTTTAGCCTGGCCCTTTGGCAGATTAACCCTCTTCACCTCCGCTGCAGCCGGATTGTATTTTTCGCAGAAGAAGCGGCCCAGCCCGAGAATCCGATGAGAGCCGAAATAAGCATTTGTTCTCCTCTGACTCCTTCTCCCAAAGCGGCCGCTCTCCTGGGAAGAGGCAACCGCCCGTTTCCCTGGAGGACGCGGAAAGGCTGGGAGTTGAGCCCGGGCAGGAGCCGGGTATCGTCCTTCAGCGGGCACCGCTGCGGAGGACCCCGGCTGCGGTACTGCCAGTCCGGTCCCCTGCGCTCCCATTGGCCTTCAAGATGGGCTATGCTAGGCAATGGGCAGTCTGGGCAAGCGCTTCCCAAGGGACCGTTCTGTACTGGCGTGCACTGGCTGTTCGAGTGCGCGTTTATCTGGCATTATCGCCGAAGGACTGCAATGCTTCCAGGTGTTTGTGAAAGCGATACCCGTTTCTTGAAATATCTGACGCAAATACTGAGAGAAAAATGCCTCAGTTGATAGTCCAGGACACGTTCTGTTTTCGGGGGGTAACGATTTACGAATGCTACACAGCTATCAGCCACCCTAGGTTACTCCACTGACAGTGTTATCCCTCCTAAAGTGGCAACACACTTTTTCAGGCTTTTGTCAGTCAGGAAAGTCACTGAAGTTTTGCTGACCTCGGGAAGTTTCTTTTCCTCACACACCTGAATCGCCTTTCATTCTCAGGCAAAACTCTCCGCCAGGAAGATGGTCGTGGCTTTTCTGGCGCAGGGTGATTGTCACCTCTCTCCCTCTCACTTTCTTTGCAGCGCTGGCTCTACATTAGGGACACCTGCCTTCTTGTTTTGCGCTATCGGCCTGGCTTGGGGATGGCTAGGCTTACAGAGCGCTTTCGTGACGCGGAGTTAAAAAGCACCACTTAGCAGGAGTTGCAGCACTGAGGGCAATAGAGCAAGCTGTGCTGGCTGGACGGCCAGCCCCGAAGAACGGACGGAGGAAGCCAGGATCTCCTCCGTGCTTGGAAAAGGTACACGCGGGCAGTGAAAAAACTGTCACCCCCAGCCTCCTCCTCCAACTTTTAGCTCAAGGTCCGCCCGTTTCAGCGAAGGATGTGCTCCTCTCTTGTATTAGGACAGGTATTGCCAGCAGAAAGACCTGCTTCCTCTTCACTTCTTTCTTTCTTTCTTTCTTTCTTTCTTTCTTTCTTTCTTTCTTTCTTTCTTTCTTTCTTTCTTTCTTTCTTTCTTTCTTTCTTTCTTTCTTTCTTTCTTTCTTTCTTTCTTTCCTTCTCTCTTTCTTTCCTTCTTTCTTTCCTTCTTTCTTTCCTTCTCTCTTTCTCTCTTTCTCTCTTTCTCTCTCTCTCTCTCTTTCTCTCTTTCTCTCTTTCTCTCTTTCTCTCTTTCTCTCTTTCTCTCTTTCTCTCTTTCTCTCTTTCTCTCTTTCTCTCTTTCTCTCTTTCTCTCTTTCTCTCTTTCTCTCTTTCTCTCTTTCTCTCTTTCTCTCTTTCTCTCTTTCTCTCTTTCTCTCTTTCTCTCTTTCTCTCTTTCTCTCTTTCTCTCTTTCTCTCTTTCTCTCTTTCTCTCTTTCTCTCTTTCTCTCTTTCTCTCTTTCTCTCTTTCTCTCTTTCTCTCTTTCTTTCCTCTCTTTCTCTCTTTCTTTCTCTCTTTCTTTCTCTCTTTCTTTCTCTCTTTCTTTCTCTCTTTCTTTCTCTCTTTCTTTCTTTCTCTCTTTCTTTCTCTCTTTCTTTCTTTCTCTCTTTCTTTCTCTCTTTCTTTCTTTCTCTCTTTCTTTCTCTCTTTCTTTCTCTCTTTTTCTCTCTTTCTTTTTTTCCTCCTTTTCCTTCCCACCCTGCCCTTCTGTCCGTGTCTCCTGCTACCTAGTCTTTCTGTTTGTCACGACTTGCTGGCACCAATGCTAACTTTCTAGGACAGGGTGTTGTGGGTGGTGGGCAGTTACTCCAAGCAGAGCTCGGGGCAAAGCCCGATTCTCCGGGGAGACCGCATCTGAATCCCGTGCCTCCACCGCGGGGACACGGGCTGGGCTCGCCTGTTACCCGCGCTTACAAGGAAAACGTCACGGAGTCGCCTCCGCTGCAGATTTAGGAGGCGACTGTCATCAGGACGCCCTAACCGGTTGGTGGGGAGGACGCTGTGTCCCACTCAGCCCCTCACCCTGCCACAACCGAGATGGCCCCTGCGGCCCTGCCCGGCCCTTGCGGCAGCAGCGCACCTCGCCTCTCGGCCCCGTCCAGCGGCCTGCGAGCCCGCGGGAGGCAGGCGTTTGGCGCAGTCGCTGCGCGGAGCTGGGGCAGACACCATAGCAGCCGCCCCTCGCGGAGGCGGGCGCAGGGCAGAGCAATACCTGTGCGGGCTCCGCGGGGCTTGCGGCAGCCCCTGTCCACGACGTGTGCAAGGTGCAGATGAGGTGGGAGCACGTCCCCCGCCGTCCTTGGCGGCAGGGCTTTCCGCACTTGCGGTCTCTTTAAAGGAAGGGGAGAGCACAGCAGCACTTCTAATAGCAACAGCAACAACAACAGAAACTTTCCCAGTCTCCCTGCAAAGAGTAACAACAAAAGGCTGTTCATCAGCAGCCAGGTGTCATGGTGCAACTCTTGACAGCAACTGTCTTCCTTTTGAGCCAACCAGTTCTGGAATACATTACATTAATTAAGTCTTTTGTGATTTAGGCTCCTTGGAGAAAAGTCCAACAATGTAATTAAGAGCACACTGGTTATATTAGGTATGAATATTCAAAATAGTGTCAATTA